CATACCTATATAAGGAGAATGTCCTTGTATTTAATAGGTGGATCACATTCATCTGACAAACTTAGCACGATTACCAGATATTTTCTGAATGAGATCTTCAGTGGTGGCCTAGTACGTTGGAAACGGTTTAGCATAAAACCTCGATGTACTCGACCTTTCTCAAGGTTGAAGTACTCCAAAGTGAAATTATGTAGTATGATTCATCAGCCTAAAAATATGAGGAGTTATACCTCTCTTCTCCTGTCATGTAGAGGGTCGTTTTATGCCGTCCAACATATCGTATGTTAAATTAAAACAAGGGTTTGATGTACGTAATCTTTTGAGCCACGCATAGAAATATTTCTCTTATGATATATTCTAAAATAATTCGATCCATAACCTAATTATTGGGCAATATTAGTACAAATCGTTCAAAATTTAGGGTGCCTTAATACTATATTAAACTAAAAAAAACAAAAATGTTCAATTAATATTTCGTCATACTTTTTGTTTTTTGTGTGTACGAAAGAGGGGTAGAGAATGTAGCGTAGTGGCCAATAATTGGAAGGGGTTGCTTTCCTCGTGTGTTGCGCTATTGAAAATTATTAGTAGGAAGGAAATGTTATAAGTGAATAGTAGCAGATCCCATCCCCATCAATGGAATAATGGATCAAAATTTGTTGAGAGAGTAGCATCCAAAGAAAATTAAAAAGTATGCGGTTGCGTTTGATTGAACTACATCTAGGTTGACTATTCGTATTAACTAGTAATAATTTCTACAGTCCCATGTATTTTAATTTATAATTTCATTGGACAAGAGCGACGTAAGAACTCAACAACAATTTTCTGCATTTTTCTTTCTTACTTGTCAAAAATTTAACGAAGATGAGTGATACTAATTACTGTAACACTCCAGGCCCAAGATTCCGAATCCTTATATAAATCCTGAGCCTGGTTGTTACAAATGGTATTAGAGCAGAACGTCTCTCAGTATAATGTGGTATGTGGACGAACCAAACGGAAGTTAGTAGGCATGTGATGTTCGAGTAAAAATGAGGGGTACATGGGATGCACCGGTACACAGTGCTGAAGGCACTGTGCTTGATAGCCGACTTATAATGTTTTAATAACGGCTAACACTTTTTTAACAATCTTTTTTATGGTTATGCCGGCGAGTCCATCCTTACGAAAAAGGAACAAACTCGAATCGGTTAAAAAAAGGCTTAAAAGAACTGAAACTAACAAGATGCACCTTCCTTTTACGTGGCTGAATCATAAAAATTCTAAAATTAAGCATGTTTGGCTTGGAGCAATTTTCGATTGTACGAACTCCTAGTTGAATCAAAATTCTAAATCTTGATGCAGATCTTGAGTCTGGAGCGTTACACTAGGACGGTGGTAGGATATGGGTAAGATTAAATGGGTTTGGAGTTTGGTTTGGTGTGGCACCACGTGACCAAGTTTTGGTGGGTTGGGTATTTGGGTATGGCTATTGGCTTGGATCCCCATAAAGATTTCGAGTATCTTTACAAATTTAGTCCCCCACGACTTTCTCTCTTGATTTTTATGCACTCAACTCAAACGCACACAACTTTTTTCTTCTCTCTTTTCTCTTTTATGGGGAGGGGAAGCTTTTTTTTTTTGCGTACAATAGGCTTTCACTTCGTTAGGCACACAACCAAACTATCACTATTTGTGCATGTGCCCATTTCCTGCCTTTACCTTTAACTTCCTCGGGTAGGGAGTGTGCAATTAAGTCTATCGATTAGAAGATAACTATTGCTGCATAATTTTTCCGGTAGAAAGATCACTAATTCAGAATAAAAGTAATTTGTTGCGCCCATTTGGGATTTGGATCGTCTAAATTTGTGACACTAAAGTATTCTACTGGGAATTTGGATAATCAATTGAATTTGTATAGCAATATGGATTAGTCCATAAATTTAACTAACGGCATTTAATTAATCCACGGTAAAAAAAAAAAAACCCTAGTGGAAAATAAAAATCCATGGCCATGCATGTGGAGGAATATATAAAATTCAAATTGAGAAATATTATATGAAAATGTTTGTATATAATAAAGTTTAGTTCATGCAAAGTTCCTTAAAATAACATATAGTACTAACAATAACAATAATAATAATGTAAAGATTGATGATAATTGATTATGTTGCAACTCCGACAGCATGGGACTGACAGCCCAATTTGTCCCCAATATAAAATAATATTAAAGCTACATAAATAATAAAATAATAATAAGAAGTTGCTTTTTTGTTTTTTGTTTTTTGTTGCTTTTTTTTATATTTTTTAAAATGTAAAACCACGGGGAGAGTTATGTCATAATAGAGGGCCAATTGAGTTGCACCCAATTAAAAAAAATTTTTATAGTCCCATTTGAGCCCCCAAAAGATCCAACAATTCACAATAATATTCTCAATGTCTCACCCCCTTTACATATCCACATATATACATTTTATATTATATTTTTTATTTTATTATTATAAACCAAAGTAAGTAAGTAATTAAAATTAAATAGAAAAAAAAAAGAGAGATATAAAAGTTGTTCCCTTTTCATTGAAGTTGAAAAATAATGAAAAAAAGGAAATCTCAAAGATCCTTTTGATCATTATCCAATGGCACCTTGGTTTTCACACTTAATTTTATAGAAATTTTCATATTAGATTACATGTTGAATCACTACTCCATTCAAAATTTTCTAAGTTTTGAAAGTTTCAATTTTTGTTTCAATTTTTGTTTCAATGATTTGGGTTCAGATCCTATTTGATGTATTTATATTATCCATAGTTTTAATTAAAATTTTTAACTGGGTCAAACCATACAATAATTATATGTAATTATAGCGTTACATATAGTTACCATATCGAATATATGTGATACATATTTAATTTACATGACAATAAACTATTAATATTCTCCATTTGATTTGAACACGTAAAACTTAATATACTAAGATTTAGAGAATAGTACAAATTTGGTTAAAAATGGTGGATTTTCAAATAATTAAAACAGTGGTGGAGTAAAAGTGATAGATTTTCAAATAATAATATATAGTGTAGCGTCTCGGGAAGGACATATTTAGGATCAAATTGAAACTTTTAATATCACATTGACCGATAAGTCTAATTTTTAAAGAAAAATGACTTGAGTTCTCCTTAGAGTATCACCTATCTTGAGGTCTGAAGTTCGAGTAATGAGCTGGTCATAGTATTACTCGGGCCCAATAATAGATTCCGATTATAAAGATCCACTTGTATATCAGGTGATCCCGAGAAATTAAAAAAAAAAAGAAAAAAAAACTGAAATTTGAAGAATATTGTTAGGTATTGGGAGAGTGGTTGTAATGCAGATTTACCAAACTCGACTGATGTTGACCGTCTACTATCATCCAACGGTCCAAATTGGCTTAAGTGGACCCCACCTCGTGAATATACATTTCCTTTCGACTTTACCCTTCGAATCTCCATCATTATCATGTTTGAACAAGGGCACACACGTAATGTCGCTTCGATTTTCCCTCACGTTCTCTTCTCCTCCTCCCACATGCATTTTTTTTTCCTTAAATTTATCATTTCACTCACAAGTCACGAGTCACCACACTAAATAAAATAAATAAATAAATAACACCTAAATTCCTCGCCTACGGCGTCGTTTTCCCAGCCAATCTAATCATATCATCATTTATATCATTTTATATGCACAAAAAATTAGTTTTCTTTCCAAAGCTTTTTATAGTCCATATTTTGTGGTTGAAAAAACAAAATCAAGAGAGACATGCCAAATTAGTCAAAAGATATTCTTTTTGAAATAAAAGATACTCCATTCATTAATATCATTAATATCGATATAATTATTTAATATATCTATATTATTTTGTGGGCCAAATATTAACGAATATTTAGACACACAATTAATTGATATATTGTTTTATTTTATGCATGTGCACACTATTCTTAAATGCTGCTGAAATTTTTCATGTAGCTAGATTATCAAAAAATTTACCTAAACTTTTAAGTATTAATGTAATTTTAAAAAATAATATTTGGCTATATACCATTAAGTAGCTTCATCATACGGTGTATTTTTATTTGGTGTTTTATATTATATTTAATAGATAAATGGATCCAATAAAATTTAAATTTTTTTAACACTAAAATCTACGGCATCAGATAGTTAGTAATAGCTTCTTATTAAGCCAAATATATAGACAATAATTTTTCTTTCGAATACTACTATTGACATAGCTACCTCCACTCCTTTCACTCCCACATTTTTTATTTTTTTATTTTTATTTTTGGAAAAAGAAAAAAGAAAAAAGAAAAATCCAATCACTCTTTTCTTATAAATGGACCTCCTAAAATCAATATAAATGGAGAGGAAACAACAACGTAGGGGTTCGAACACAACACCACCTAGTCTAATATCATTTTAAGGATATGAATCAACTACCACTCAACCCAAAAGTTTAAGCTCATGGGTTGACTAAATACACAGGATCACCTCCCCATTCCCCTTCACCTGTGGGCTTGGAAAATTGCAACAAGACCAAAGAAGTGGAAATCATAATAAATGGGAAGGAAACAACAACGTAAAGGTTAGAACACAGGTTAAGGATGATGTTTAATTCATTTATATGGACTCTCTGATACCAAGTTAAGGATGAATAAATCATCACTCAACCCAAAAACTTAAGATTATGGGTCGGATAAATTTAATTCATTTAATAGTATCTCAACATTCTACGAATAAGTAAATACCTAAATATTTGTAAAAAAAATAATAAGAAAGTAGATATTCATCCTTGCAACCTTAATTTTGCAAAGAGACAATAACGTCTTAGCCAATGAATTATGGTTTGTCCGGTGGGTTGAGATTAATAATTGTATTTTTGGAGAGAAAAAGAAATAAATGAATTAAAATATATTAGGATAGTGGAGAGAGAGGTCCCCAATTTTCCCCTATAAATACAAGTGTTGGCTTCTCCTTTCTCTCGCCAACTCAAAATCTTCTCTCTCTCTCTCTCTCTCTGTGAAAAAATGGCCAAATACTTTTCGATTCCAGCTTATTTCGCATTGATGTTCTTCATAAGCTGTTTGAAATCCTCCATAGCCAAATCCAAGGCCTGGTTCAATTTCCTCCCCCTCCACGTCGCCGATAAACTCCGCGACGATCCCGAATCTCTCAAATCCGCCGCCGTCGACTTCGGCAACATGGTAACCCACGCGCCGGCCGCCGTTCTCTACCCATCTTCCCCAAACGACGTCGTCGCCCTACTCAAACTCGCCAACTCCCGCCCCGTCCCCTTCACAGTCGCCGCCAAGGGCCGCGGCCACTCCGTCCGCGGCCAGGCCATGGCGCCCAACGGCGTCGTTGTGGAGATGACGTCCATCGACAATCCCGGACCTCGAATCGCCGTCCTCGGCTCCCCCTCCGCCGGTTTCTACGCCGACGTCGGCGGCGAACAGCTCTGGGTTGACGTGCTTAACGCCACTCTTGAGCACGGACTTGCACCGGAGTCCTGGACGGATTATTTGTACATCACCGTCGGCGGGACGTTGTCGAACGCTGGCATCAGCGGCCAGACTTTTCGATACGGTCCGCAGATCGGTAATGTCACTGAACTCGACGTCATCACAGGTAACAACCGAGCTAGAATGGAAAAACTTTGATTCTTAAAGTTAAAACACCCTTAAAAATATTTGACAACTCACTCACCTGGCAAATAACTCCTCTTTTAAATATGGCATCATAATTGGGTAAAAGGAAAACCCTTTTTTTTTTTCCCTTTTGAGAGATATTATATTTGCATGTTTTTTTATTTTTATTTTGTAGGAAAAGGAGATTTGGTAAGCTGTTCACCAGAAAGGAACTGCGAGCTCTTCCATTCAGTCCTTGGTGGTTTAGGGCAATTTGGAATCATAGTTCGAGCCAGGATTCCCTTATACCCAACTCCAAACAGGGTACAATTTGATTAATTCAATAATATAATAAATTAAACCCACAATAAAATTTCAATTAACCCATTAATTAATTATTATTAATAATGTTTTTTTCTCAGGTTAAGTGGTTTAGGATTCTGTACAGCAAGTTCAGTGATTTTACTATGGACCAAGAAAGATTGATCTCAATGAATGGAAGAAAACAAAAGGGTGCATTGGACTATTTGGAGGGTTTGCTTCTAATGCATGATGGTCCCCCAGACAACTGGAGATCCTCCTTTTTTCCACCCTCTCATCACTCCACAATCATCTCTTTGGTTAATCAACACTCCATCATTTACTGTCTAGAATTCGCCAAATATTACGACGATCGCTCTCTAGATACCGTTGATAAGGTATATCATCGATAATAATACGGTCCCATAAGGCTTCCCTCAAAATAACTTACAATATCAACGTAGTTTTTAGAAATTGAGTTAAGAATTCAAATGGTATCCGGAATAATGACTTCTTTTCTTTGATATTGGTCTGGATAGGAACTTGAAGATTTGATGAGAGAGTTGAATTTTTTACCCGGATACAAGTTTGAGAAGGATGTATCGTACGTTGAATTCTTGAATAGGGTACGAAGTGGGGAACTAAGCCTTCAGTCGCAAGGACTGTGGGACGTTCCTCATCCATGGCTGAATCTCTTCGTACCAAGATCTCGTATCACGGATTTCGACTCGGGTGTCTTTAAGGACATTGTTCTTAAACGAAAACTTACCAAAGGACCGATACTCATCTACCCCATGAACAGGAGCAAGTAATAAAGATAATAATCTCTCTTCTTCAACTGCCTCTATTATTTTATCTAAAGATTTTACTTAAGATATATTAATTAATCAAATAATATACAGGTGGGATGATAGAATGTCAGCCATTATACCAGATGAAGAAGTTTTTTACACGATAGGATTTTTAAATTCATCTGGATTTGAAGATTGGGAAGCCATGGAAGAACAGAACAGAGAGATATTGAAATTTTGTAACAGTGTGGATACGAAGATCAAGCAATATCTTCCTCATTACAAAACGCAGGCAGATTGGGAGAAGCATTTTGGAAGCAAATGGAGAAGGATTCAAGAGAGGAAAAAGGAATTCGATCCCAAAATGATTTTGTCTCCTGGACAGAAAATTTTCAACCTTTGAAGCTCTTTTTTAATATATAATTTTAAGAAATACTCTATATTTTTTTTAGGTGGGTTATTCCTCGTATAGATTTTGTCCACTTTTTTTTTTTTCTTTCTTTCTTTTGGGTCGGGAAGGAATATTGGTGTAATATAATTATGTAATATTTGTTCATTATCTTAAAAATTTATATATCTTATCCACCATTTCCAATTCTCTGTCCGACATGGTTTTAAATATCCATAGACACGTCGATATTTCCATTGATATATCCTATCCATGGGTTCAACATCGATATGATGAGTAAATCAACATTTCCATAATAGTACAAGAAAATCGTCAAAATATGAAAAATATCAACGAAATGTCACAGATATATGCATAATATTAATATTAATTATTTTTAACTATTTTAAAATAGAAAAAATATTTATTTGTTAATTTAAATATTTTTTACGATTTTTTAATATTTCTAATTTTTAAAGAAATATCCATCGACATTGACATTTAACATCTTGTTGTCATATCTGTATTCATTTTAATAGAAACCAATTGAAAATATATTGTTTTGAAAAATCTAACTATTGAACTAAATAAATGTGGTTAATATATTGTTTTTTTCTTTCTAACCATATACTAATCATATATTTAATTATGTTTAGAGAGATAGGTTAGCATATACCATTGATAATAAATTATAGTAATTAAAAGTTAAATTATATGTACTCATTTTTCTTGGGATCTAAATACTTCGGTTGCATCAATTATTTCTTTTTTAGTTCAATGATATGTGAAATGAAGATTCAAACTTCCTACAATTTAGTTAAAAATATATTTCTCAAATAATTGAACTACGCTCAGACTTGGTGTCTAACACCCCGAACATAATTGCACTAAAAGTATATATATGGGATATAATAATAATAATAATTTAAGAAGGCACGTGGGGGGGCCTGTTCCCTTATTACATTATGGCGACAAAAACAGTGCCATATAGATCATACACAATACTGAAAAGTTTATTAACGTTATTTTATTAAAAACAAATCTGTTTTTATTTTAATTTTTCCTCTAAATTATTATAATATTTATTTGGGGGCCAGCGTGACCCTAAGCTCATATCATCATCATTATATTATATAAATATAGAGCTACGTACAGTAAAATTAATATAATAAAATAGAAAAGCAGAATTTTGCGGCTTGGAGAAGGAGGGAGCAAAGGGAATTTAATTTGAGATGTTTTTTTTTTCCTTTTTAAATTTATTTATAAAAAGGATGTTTTCAACTCTTACTGCAGAACTGCAGGCATTTAGGAGACATGGAGGCTTCAAAAAGCCTACTTCTCTGCAATATTTTTTTGACTTTTTTCTTTTTTCCCCATCATGCTGTTTTATTTATTTATTTATTATTCTTTTTTACTAATAAATTATGTGATCAATTTTCCCTTTTTCTCCTCGTTGTGAAGCAAAGCATCCGAATTAAACGTGTTTTGTTTCCATATTCTCTGTTGATTTAATTATTATGGAAGAACAAAATGATTAGGGGAAAGAGAGTGTAAACTATATATATATATATATATATTATATAAAAGAATATGTGTGTGTGGTGTCAATTGGAGTGGGGGTAAAGAAAAGAAATTAAAAGGTGAAAACTTTTATTTTATTTTTATTTTTTATGTGATGTGGATATTCCTCTAACATGCGTGGCCGACCAACCCAATTTGTAGCTTTTTTCCCCAAATATTGCCTTTCTTTGTTCTACACAAATAGGGCCCAACTATATATATGAACTCTCCCATTAAATTATATTTAGCCTCACTTGTTTAATGTTAAGATTCTCCATATCTTGTTGCTTTTATTGTTGATACGGTTCTAATTTGGCTACTCGACCCCATTAAATGACGAGAGTGATTCTATATATATGTATAAGTTGTTGTTGTTCAAGCAGCTATATTTCTCTTTTATTTTATTGCAGCTCAAAAAGTATATGGAACAATATTGGTCCTACAGTTCATTCTAAGGTTAGGATACCTGCTACTCTAGTATTTGTCATATGCTTTAACGGCGTGTGTGTTAAGACTCGAAATCTTCTTGCTGATCTTTGATAAATAAAGTGGCAATTTTAAACGGACATATTCAAAGCTGATCCATGCGGGTAGAAAATTTGTAATTTTCCTCTACTTTCACCCTCTACGTTGGTCAAGATATATGATCATGGTGTCACTTGTTCTAGAAAGGCTTTCAATATATATGATCATGTTGAAAATGAGGAGTGTATAGGTTCAAATTTAAGGGTGTGGACCATCAAATTAAAACGCCACCATTGGTTTTTTTTGCCCTTTTTGTAATGGTGTGATCACAAAGGGATAGAATCAAATACTTCGAACTGGGAAGGGAAAACGTTGAATCATATATTTCTTTCGAAATTTTATTGAGTTGAATGTTGTATTTGTTATATTGTATTTAAATTTAAATTATAAAAATTATTCAAGTGATTGTTTTGTGAGTTTATAAGGAAGCCTTATCTTAGTTAAGAAATGTATTTTTGATCAAAAAATCTTGAGTTAGAATCACCACCTCACATATTATATTCAAAAAATCATTTTTGTAAAATTAGTTCAAGAGAGACAAAAATGAAAGGAAAAAAAATTAGAATATTTAGGGCATATCAGCATATTATATTTTTCAGGTAATTTAATCAACATAATATATCAATTAAATTTGACAGCAAAATGATGGTTGAAGTAGAAGAAGAAAATCTTGGTATGATAGGTTGTATCTTATTGATGTATCCACCATATCCATAATATCCATATATATATATATATATATAGTTACGTGAATAATCAAAATATAATATCTAACTTAAGCATATATATAATTCAACGTGTTAAAGTACATATATCTGAATTTGAACATAATTAAACGGGTTAAAGTACATCTATCCGACTAGAAGATCGTGAGTTTGAATTTCCACACCAAATATTATACTAAAAATATATATATAATACCCAAAACCCTTTTTTTTTTGCTCAATTACCATTAACTTCAAACAAACCAAATCCCACCCCAAAGATGTTATCCATCATTTTATTCCCCTTTTCACATTTATACTTCTTAATTACACTATCATTAATTTCTCATTTTTGGTTCCCTTTGCATTGACTAAACAAATTTATATATACGACAGCTTACATTCGTTTCAGATTTTGTTTGTACACATGGGTTCGGTGTCCGACCAAAAATCCATTCTCTGGATAGACTTCGACACAAATAAAATTTATAAGTTCATTGAGTTTACTACTTGTGTAATAAATCTGAAAAAAGATTTTGACGAATCGAGAAAAATTAAAATCAAGAATAGAGAATTTGGACCAACGGGATCAAGAATAATGAGAAAGAACGACGACGACAAATGATTAAGTTCATCTAACGTATCGATACTACTTGAATTTGTAATTTTACGTAAAAGGTTTTTGTGTAACTTTAAATTATATTGGTCATTTGTTATACGATGCGACTAATTATTAGTAGTATGGATTTGTTGTAATATTTGAGGACTCGTTTTGGTAACGTTCTTATTTCTAATTTGTTGTGGTTTTTTAATTTAAAAAATAAATAAAAACATGTTTGGTAACTATTTATTATTTCTAATTCTTTAAAATTTTAAATTAAAAAGTAATTTTTTAAAATTAAATATTTCAAATTTTACATGTTATATTTGTTTTTTTTAATATTTATTATGTATCTACAAGTCTAGAATGATAAAATAATACTTTCAATATTTAAGTTACTACATACTTATATTTATATAGTAAAATGAAATTAGATAAACAAAATACATGTTGAAACGAAAAATACTACCAAATGGGTCTTGAGAGTCAGTTTGGTACGTAAGAGTTTTTCAATAACACACAAATCCGTTCTTATCTTCGAGAATATTGATACCTATCTAACCTCTTTTGAGTGGGTTTCATTTTTTATTAAGCCTCCACAAATTCGTATGACTAAATTAATTATGATCATAATCTTAGATTAGAAGAAATATTTCAATATATGCATGGGAATGACTAGCCTAGTTTTTAAAAGCTATACCTAACCTTATTACTTTTGAAAATAGATTCCCAATTATTCTATAAAAAAAAAAAAACACTTCCCAATTAGTTGTAGCATACGAATATTTCATTAAAGAAAATAATTTCATTTACTTTTTTTTTTACAACGAGCAGGGTGGGAAGAATTCAAACTCATGATCTCTTAGTCTGAGACAGTTTCCAATTATCGTTGATTTGCCCGGTTAAAAAWTTTAAAATGAATCCTAATTCATACATTAAAAACTCTCTTAGTCTCCGTCGATCTCCTTTACCTAATTAGTGCAATTCTCGTATCGAATTTTCAAAGGGTAAAAATCCTACTTTTCCACCTCATAACACACTTTTTAAAGTATATCCAAACTGCCTCAACTACTTGATATTAAATGAATTCACCCACCTCATAAGATCATATGACTTAGTTTTGATTTGAAAAAATAATAGTTCACATTGACTCAATTGCTCCAAAAATTCCGCTTGAGATAAGCAATGTAAGTCGTCAAAGTCATTGTTTAGGTGAGCATATAGTATAATAATAATAATGATAAGATCTTTGAAAAAACTTACACAAAATGGGGTTGCAATATCTTGGAAGAAAATCTAGAATGAAAGTGAAACACACATCAAAGGGTGGTCCAAAGTCCAAAATGGGTTACATTACAAAGATTGATTAATGCAAAAATCCCAAGTCTTGTCTTTGTCTCTGTCTTTGTGTTTTTTTTTTCCTTAAAACAAAAAACAGAACACTATTTCTAGCTGCCATCCTACTTTATTAGGTTAGGCAGAATATTGAGGCCAATATCCATGTTTTTGGCAAATGGCAAAAAATGCAAAGATTTTGTGAAGACTTGGGGAAGATTATATCTCTTCTTCTTCTTCATCTAGAAATTAAAATGGAAAGATTTGAAGATAATCCGTACGAGAAAATCCCATATGAAATAATGGATCTTCATTTGTATATTGGCTGCTCATTTACGTAACATAGAATATCAAATGGGGTAACACAATCGAATCCAAGATCTTTGCCTCGTCATTTTCTAAATCTTCCATGTTCGTGCTTATGGACTACTACTATGTGTTAAGTATAAATATTCATGAGCTCCTTCTCAAAATTAATTCGTAATAAGAGGATGGATCTCATTTTGGACCCGATGCTCACTCTGATTTTATGTTAAGGATGATTTCTACTTGTTGGACATTGTTCAATAATCCAGTGATACCATGTAAGCTTTTAGGTTGACCTATGTGTCTCCACAACATAGTATGATATTGTCCGTTTTTGACATAATTCTCATGACTATACTTTTGTTTCACCCAAAAGACTTCATACCAGTGAAATTGCGTTCGTATTTAGCCAATGTAAGACAACTTTGTTCGCATTCCCAATACCATATGATGAAATAGAATGAAACGATGGTATAAAATAATTGACAAGGATAAACAAACTCACATAACAAATGTAAATTAGGACGATTTATTGATACGAAACTAGAGGACAAAGTCAAATTTTGTAGACCCGTGAACTAAATGGTAGTTAGATGTCATGGGTTACATCATGGGGGAGGGAGTGAAGTTGGGGGCCTAAGTTTCATTGACAGATAGAAGTGACAAAGACAATCTCCACAAAACATACACCTTTTATTGACAACTTTTGATCAATCTATCATATTTATTCATCACGCTTCATGTTATGATGCATACAAAAAATAATTACATGAGTTTAATTCAATAGTAACTGACAGTTTTTTTTTACCAAAAGGTCATGAGTTCGAATTCTTACGTCACTGATGATGTTGAATTCGTCATAAACATATGTAAATTAATATTGAGTTAAACTCAGGCTAGCGCGTATATATATATATATATATATATATATATATATATTTATTGCTTAACAATTTTTTTATTATTAAAATTAATTGGCCCGTCGTTCATAATAATATTAAAAGCTCTTTTCTTCCATAATTATTATGGGGATATATATATATATTTTGTTGTATTTCAGTAATGCTTTTTTAAAATTGATGCTAATGTGATATTCACTTACAACATGCTTCTTTATATTTATGATCGTTTGTTTTTATTATCGTTTGTTTTTATTTATTTATTTATTTTTAAATTGACTACTTGAATGAGTAAACTCATTGACATGTCAATCTTTCATTGATTCGACAATGTCCAAAAGATTCTTGGTGCCTTTTTTTTGTTGGACCATAATCTAAGTTGATTCACAAAGAGAAATGTGACATAAATACTTTGGAGTAGTTGAATATTTATTAATACATATCGCGTGGATGTGAAAACTTTGACAAAAGAAAATATTTGCCAAGAAAACATGTATATAAATGAAAGTTTTCAGAGATTTGATCAATATATATGGGACCAAATCTTGTCCATTGTAAATGAAAACATATTGAAGCAAATCTAAAAGATAATATTCGTGAGATTTTCTTAATGTATATATTTCTTTATCACGATAAATAATTTTTTTAGTATGAGAGATTGACTCTTAATTAAAGGATAAAAAGGTTGATACGATATCTTTGTATCCAAATCTCAAAAAAAAAAAAAATTACCCACTTTTTTATTGATGAACTATATTCAGGTTGATAATATTATTTTCGATTAGAGTCTAAAAATTTGCATTAATAAGAGTCTCACTCTCACCCCTCCCCAACCGACCTCTCTTCCATATTAATTATATTGATGCATCAAAATGATAATAATGTAAAAATAATATATAAATAAAATGATAAAAAAAATGGCCATATAATCAAGGTAAAAATTAGTTGATTTGATGTGTGTTATAGTTCCAATTTTCTCACCCTAATATGAAGTAAAGAAAATTCCATATTCCATATTAGTTTTTTATTTTTTTTAATTACAAAGATTAGTGATTATTTTATAATTTTAGTAAGAAAATTAAACTCTAATGGGATGAGTATAATTTTCTCTATCATAAAACTAACTTGAGCACGATTGATTGGTTAAGATACATATCTCGACCTATCAAAAGGTTGTAGTTTTAAACCCAAACTCACATATTGTTGTATTAAAAATAATTCTCACCATAAAAATTTGAATAGAATCTCATTACTCCAAGGGTTGGATTCTTATTATAATTAAAAAAAAAAGGAAAAAATCTAATTTTACATAAATGGCAAAACATTGAATCTGCATATATATAGTCAGAATAAGTAAAATATATAATATGAAATCAAACATTAAGATTTTGCCAGTATAATATCTAATATTTGATGGACCAGAAAATCATACGAAGAATCTTTTTGAGAATGTGTCAAAACAAAACTACCTTCTTAGTGCTGAAAAAAACAAACAAACAAAAGTCTTTAGCCATCAATATTTAAAAAAGAAAAAAAAACACTTTTTTTTAATAAGTAACTTTATACAAGATCAATCCATATTTTATGTGTATGTATATATATATATATTTTTTGGAACCATTATATGTATGTATTTGATAATTATGTACAGTATCGGTATTGGTAATATTTTTTATTGAAAAAGGAAATCAATTAAGAAATAAAATAAAGAAAACTATATTAAGAAAAATCAGAAACTACTTTAAAAAATAGGAATATCATTTTAGAAACTATATTTAACCAATAGTCTAAGTTTTCAAATTGTTACTTACATTCTCATATTTTAGATTTTCATTAATCTAAAGATTGTTCTCAATTATTGTTATTTTATTTGATTAAATTTATTTTTTATTTAAATGATTAGATTTGATTTTTATGCACTTTTTTCATATTTGGATTTCAAATCTTTTTCTCCTCGCCCAATCTAAAACATCTCATCTTTTTCTAATATCACAATTAATAGTAAATTCTTCCTTTTGTAATTAAAATTTAAAAAATTCCTCTCTTACGGAATTTTTTTTCGGCTTCTTTTCTTTTCATGCTGTCTTTTTCTTTTTGCAATTGATAAACATATACTGATGTAAATGGTTCTATAATATATTTATTTATATACTATTATTTTATTTTCATGCTTATTTAACATATATTAGAAAGAAAAGAAGCTATGAGTAATTTTTCTAATGAATTCCACCTATAATTGGTCAATTTTTAAAAAATAATGTAAATTGTTATAAAGTTAAACTATTTGTATAATTTGAATCCTAAAATAGGCTAGTTTGTGTAGCAAATCCTTAAAAAAATGCTCTCTTGCTCGGGTACGCTCGCTCCAAATTCTAAATGGGCCGGCCTTTTTTTATTGGACTTTTTGTGATACTCCTACTTCTACCAGAATACCATTGATAAGCCCAGGCCCATCTTAAGTAAATGGGCTAACTGACCGTTGGTCTTTTTGAAATGGGTTTGGGCCGTTAAGAAATGTTTCAAGTGTTGGCTAGTTTTCTGTGATATTTATAATTGCAATTCTTTCAAAATATTTGCAAATATTTTCAGAAAAAAGTCCCATCAATTACTAATGTTCTTGACAATAGTAATAGTAATCCGTTCTTTTTTAACAGTAACATGTTTTCTATTCTACTTTTTAGCATAAGAATAATAATTATTATTATGTAGATAATTTTTATGATAATTATTGATTTGCATAATTGATGCTTAATATCTATATGGTTATGAGTTAAGCGATAAAAGTATAAAACAATTAATAAAAGTAAAACGTTATCAAACGGATCCTTAGCCACACACTTCCGTTAATTTTTTTTAATTTGGGCCTGGACCGAAAATTATGGGTTGGGCTGGCCCAGCACCGAACGACCCAGTCTCCGTTTCTTCTCTTTTCGTTCGTCTTCTCAATCCCCGTTTGCTCCGCCACCGCACCGGACCGGAGTTCACCATGTCTCCTCCAAGAATTCTTCTCTGCGGCGACGTTTCCGGCCGTCTCAACCAGCTTTACAAGCGCGTCGTCTCGGTATCTTTTATCTCTCTCTCTTCGAACCGTCTGAACTTTTTTTTTCCCTCGTCCATTTTGTTTTCTAACTGTAGTGAGAGCTCACTTCTCCAAGTTTAGGTCAACAAATCGGCCGGCCCGTTCGATGCGCTTCTTTGTGTAGGCCAGTTTTTTCCAGACTCAACCGACCAACTCAACGAGTTCATGGACTATGTCGAAGGTCGATCAGCAATCCCTCTTTCCACCTACTTCATTGGTGACTATGGCGTCGGTGCCGCTAAGGTTCTACTGGCCTCTTCCAAGGGCTCGGCCAACCAAGGGTTTAAAATGGATGGCTTGAAAATTTGTGAGAATTTGCATTGGTTGAAAGGCAGTGGGAAGTTCACGCTACATGGTACGATTCGAATTTCTCTCTCTTTTTTTTTTTTTTAAATGAAATCTGGGCTCTGGTCAGTTACACTACTCGTTTATGAATAATAATTCAGCAGACATCGGATTTCTAGCTCTTTTATGGTGCATAGCTCTTAATACATTTTGCTAGACAAAAGAATTCCAATTCATATCGAACTCATTGCTTCTTAACGGGAAGCTTCTTCTTCTTCAATAATTGAGCCAATTGTTTCAAGTATCAAATTAAAAGAAGGGTGACACAAGGAAGCCTGAGTGCTACTTACATTTTGGACCTGACTGCACGACGGCTTCTACAGCACTAAATGCTATCTAATATTCTGATATCAATAACTAAACGGAGCACATCCTAGTCACTTCTTTTGCTGATTGATGACATATGTAGGTTTATCCGTGGCATACTTATCTGGTAGACGTTCTTCAGATGGTCTTCAGTTTGGAACATATACTCAAGACGATGTTGATGCCTTACGAGCAATAGCTGAGGAACCTGGCATTATTGACTTGTTCCTCACATATCCTTTTTTTGGTTCATTGGGATTCTAGTTTTATGATAGATACAAGGAGTATCAACTTACCAGCCCTTGAAATTTGTTCATAATTTTCCCTTCTTGAATTTTGCACATCCTTAATTGATCACACAAATGAATGGCCAACTGGGGTTACAGATAGAGCAACAACACCTGATCTTCCCCCTGGAGTCTCAGATTCTTTGGGAAGTGATTCTACCATCTCTGAGTTAGTTGTGGAGATAAAACCTCGGTACGTAAGATTGGAAATGGCTAGATGTGTTCAATATTTTTATTTAGTAAATATCTATGATATTGCATAACTTAATCAATATCAATGCATATTTGAATTTCACTTAACAATAAAGACTCTTGGTTGTCGATGGTTTAGAATTTTTGTATTATGCTCATTTCCAGTTCTCCCAGATTATTTGGGGCTGTTTCTTTGAGATATTCGAGTTTTCTTGGGTTCGTCATAGAGAGTGGGGATCTGTGGTGGAGGGAGTGCTCTTGTATTCTCCTTTCCGTGAGAAAGAGAGGTTTTTATGGCAGACTGGTTTTTTGGGATTTTGTTGGGGATTTGGTTGGAAAGAAACAATAGAATTTTTAGGGAGGTGGAGAGAGAATGAGAGTCTGTTTGGGACCTCATAAGCTTTAATGTCTCTTTATAGGGGTTTGTTTTGAATTTGTTTTGTAATTATTAGTTTTGTACTATTCTTTTGGATTGGAAGCCCTTTCTTTAAGGTAGCTTGCTTTTTCTGGGTTGTTGTTTTTGTATGCCCTTGTCTTTGTTTTTGTTTTCATTTGTCTTAATGAAAAGTTCGGTTTCTTTAAAAATATATATATATTTGTATTATGCTCATTCCTTATTGATTTAAAGTACTTCGTCCGTTGTCTAAGTTCATTGATTACTTTTTTAAGTACTTGGAAGTCAAGTATACTCGGGTGATGATTTTTTCTTGTTCACCTTGTCATTCTAATTCTTCTTTGAGTGTAGCCCTTTCTTCTAATTTAAAGAAAACCAAGAATATATGAATATGAAGATAGATAAATACTAAATACATATGAGTTTTCCTTTCACAAAAGTAAGAAATAAAACCTACGAGAAGCTTGCCCTTCTAGAGTACATTGAAACAAAAGTAAGATCAACCTCTAAAGATTTTGTGTTCTTTGACTAACAATAAGTATTAAAAAAAACTCTATCCTAAATGTATATTGTTTTAATCTACATGTTTATTCTACAAAATATGCTGGTTTCTTTGTAACTGAATTCCGTAACAAAGAGCTGAAATTCCACATTTCCAAAAAGCATTTATTCTTCAAGATATGCTGAATTCCTTCCCAAAAGAACACCCATCTTGCCAACCATCTAGCATTGAGTGAGTCATTTCAATAACTAGCTCCGCTGGGCTAGACAATGAGTTCCAAAGGAGATGCAAAGGGGTGTCCATTCTATACTCATACCTTCGCAGTAACATTATAAAGATTAGTTATTTTCTAAAGTTCAAATTTTGACAGTACAGTATCATAGCACAATTAGGTAGTAGTCTTCTCACTAATTTGAGCCTGTATAAGGTTCCATTACAGATGAGTTATTCTAAGTACTTGATTTCCCTTTTAATTTCAGGAAATTTGTTATGCGCTGATGCTAAAGGAAATTATAAGTTGGTCGTTTCACAGTTGCTCATAGGAGTCTTTTGTTTTAATTTTTAAACAATCATTCATGCAAATTTCTATGCTCTTAATTGCATTTTAGAGATAAAAAGTTCCTGGCTCAATTATTGACTATGGTAGAAGTCCTTTAGTTTTAGCTATAGCAAACTACGTATGCAGATCTTTTTTTCTGCCTATTGCATTTTCAAGGACTAAAAGTTTGTGGCTCAATTGCTGCCTCTGGTACGTGTTATCTATATTCTAAACTATCATGAAAACTGTAGAATGGAAGTTTCGAATTACATGCATAATATTGAATATAAAACTGGCCCTAATTTAGCATCTGTAATAAATACTAAAATATAATTGTTCTGATAAAATATACTTCTTTGCTAGCTATCACATTTCAGGTACAAAAGGTGTGTTTTATGCTCGAGAACCATACTCTAATGTTGATGCCGTGCATGTGACTCGATTTTTGGGTCTTGCTCCTGTAGGAAATAAGGAGAAACAGGTATGTTACAGTCTGTGTGGCAGTTTCCCCAACACATGAAACATAGACTTTCATTTCTGACAGTGTATTGACCTGCTTCACAGAAATTTATTCATGCACTGTCTCCCATCCCATCATCTACCATGTCTGCTACTGAAATTAGCATGAAGCCCCCGAATACTACCTTGTCTCCATACATACTTACTGAACGGAAAACTGATGCCTCAGACTCCACGAAGAGGCCCAGCAGTAGTGTTTCTGAATCGCAATATTGGAGATACGATGTGTCTCAGAAACGACAAAAATCTGGAACTGCAGATGGTAACAAGCTTTGTTTTAAGTTTACATCTTCTGGATCTTGTCCACGCGGAGAAAAATGCAACTTTCATCATGACATGTATGCAAGGGAGCAAAGTCAGAGAGGTGTTTGTTTTGATTTTCTTAACAAAGGCAAATGTGAAAGGGGTGCAGATTGCAACTTTAAGCACAGCTTTCAGAATGAAGTTGAAAGCCACTCTGGGAAGAGGAAACTTGGAAATGCTGGAACCAAGAGGTCCAAACCCCCACATTTACGTTGTTATCATTTCTAAAGTTTTCTCGACACTTGGTTCTTCAAGTCCTTAATTCTTTTACTTGATTAATTTATTATCCCAACACAGTGATTTATTATGTATTTTAAGCTACCTAATTTCTGTTCTATGATTGAGGTGCAGGTCTAAAGAATGCTGGTTTTGTCTGTCAAGTCCCAACATAGAGTCACATCTTATAGTCAGCATAGGTGAGAGTTTCTATTGTGCACTGGCTAAAGGACCTCTTGTTTCAGACCACATCTTGATAGTACCTGTAGAGCATTTTCCAAATACCCTTTCTCTAGCCCCAGAGTTTGAAGCTGAACTCAATAGAGTTCAAAATCGTCTCCGGAAGTACTTTAAGAACCAAGGGAAGGAAGTTGTTTTCTTTGAGTGGGTTTCAAAGCGTAGCACTCACGCTAATCTTCAGGTAATCCTCTGCTTTATGCATACATTCTAAGAAATTGTAAGTCGAAACTATGAATGTGAGCTTTGGCTCTCTTAATGTGTCAATAATGGTCCAACTTCGGTCAAGTATGCAAGGGAAGAATAATACGTTCATTGAGTAGTTCTTACTTTTTACCTGACTACTTATGATTTTAAAATTTTGACCAATTCATGAAACTCGTGCTGTTGGGTTTAGGAAATGTCTCAAATCAAACACTCTGCAACAGATGAGAAAATTTATTAAATTACATATTTATCACTTTTAAGGAAATAAACAATATCATATGGTGCTTTTTCCGTTTCCTATATGAAATATTGATTATGCTCCGTCATTTACAACATTAATTTGATGTATGGAGCATTTTGCATTCAATAACATAAGGAATCAATCTGTAAATCTTTAGACTTTATTTTTGGTGTTTCACCCCAGCTAATTGTGTTTTGATGTTAGGCTGTTCCTATTCCATCATCTAGAACTCATGTCGTTCAAAACATATTTGATATGGCTGCTCAAAAGCTGGGATTTAAGTTCGTGGTCTCTAAATGTAAGTACAAGTTAATATGTATTTTTTTAATTAAGATTCTCAACTCTTTCTTAATCGGGTTTTATGGCTGATGTTGGTCTGCTTTCATCATCTTTTAGTGGATCCCTTCCATGCAACAAAATAATAGTACGCAGATAAAAACTAAAAAGATTCAAACTGTTCCAAAAATTGATGAAATTTTATGTCCTAGATTCATAAATCATAATAAGATCACTGAATTGGTAATGATCTTGCATGGATGAAATATATGATGTCAATGCTTCTAGCGTCTTTTCCTGATTGCAAGATTATTTTTTTTAACTTCACGTTGACTAATTTATGCTGTGATTTTTCTAGTAGAACATAAAGTGGCAGATATTTTATGGTTTCTATTCTACCGGCTCCTCATTTTGTTGTTGCACTTGATTGCAGCAGCAGATGCTCCTGGTGAAGGAAGAAAATCGCTGAGGACACAGTTTGATAGTAATCACAGTTTCTTCTATGCTGAACTTCCTGAATGTACAACTCTATCGCATGTAATTGAGGAGAATGAAATATTTCCTGCCCAATTTGGACGTGAGGTTAGCTAGAGAAATTCAAAAGAATTTATACCCTTTTTCCCTTCCGGATCACCCCAAACAAAAATTTGGAGAATCTTATCATCACGGACAGTGACACCCTTCCTTTATCAAAGAATAGATCATTTCTTATTATGAAATGGAAAAAAAAATGACCGAAAATTTTTTGCAGGTTCTAGCAGGCTTACTTAACATGGCTGATAAGGCTGATTGGAGGAATTGCACCCATTCTAAAGAAGAAGAAATAAAGATGGCTGAAGAATTTAAGACACGATTTGAAAAATTTGATCCAAATAAGTGATATTTTAGTTGTAGTTGAGAATAGTCTGCCGTTGCACTCATGATTTCTGGTGAGTCAAAATGAACCTGCTTACGCCCAATATACCATCCAGGGACATCGTACAGAAGGCATACTTTGAGTAAACTACTTGGATATTTGAAGTTTTTTTCCTCCTTTGAGTAAACTGCCCAGATGAAGATGAATTACGAAGATGAAGACAATACGTTGATGTCCTTTTCCTGATACCAAAGGTTCTGGCACGCCACTTATTTCTGGAAACATTGGAGTAAAAAGGGGTGTCTGTTACTGTTACATACATCCCAGCATGTATTTGCCAGTCCAGCTATTATAGCCACGTGCTGATTGGTACGAATACCTGTTCTATATGCCTCTTACTTCTTTAGGATATTCTTTTTCTTTTGAAATTCCATGTTGCTGTAGGAACTGATTTCAGCTAATTAGTTTCCTTCAGCAATAGCTCAGGAGGTTATTAATTGTATTAGATTATTGATGAAAAGGGATCTTGTTCTTTAACTAACTTATCATTTATGCTATAATTCTTTTAAAGATGAATTCTTTTTCATCACTTGTTCACTGCCCAACAGACACGCTTCACACTTCACGACAATGAATTTATGAATGACTTGTAAGTCTATGACTCTGGCCTAGACTGAGGTTCCTTGGCGTTTAGGTTTGGTGAGGGAGTGGACGAAGTTGATGTGGGAATTATTCATCTGCCTAACTTTTTCCCCTCCTTCTCCCCCTTTTCAGCCTTAAGCAAAGCGAGACAAAGCAGAGGCAGGACAACGTAAAAATAAAATATATGTACACTTGTGTGTGTGTGTGTAAATATATATATATATATATATATTTATATATTTATTTATTTATTTATAGATTCCACTCAGAAAAATAAACAAATATCTCCAGCTTGGAGATATGGAACAGCGGGCCAGCTTAGATCTACAGCATATTTTCACATGATTGGGAAGGAAGGTGGGAAAAGTGGCGGAAACAACCTTGTGGGGTTGGTTCTAAACTTTTTTACTCTTTTTCTTTTGTCTTTTGTCTTTTGTTTTTTCACTCTGTGAATTTCTAAAATACCATTAGGTTTTAAAAGACCCAATGTGTATAATTGAGCTGTTCAATGGTCAAATGATTTTAGGACCACTAATTAAGGATGATGCTGAAGTGGAGTGGTGGGGGAGGACTCAAGAGTAATGGGTTTTTAGCGAACCCATTGAAGTGTTTAATTTTATTTTTTATTTTTTTTTATTGTTCTTTTAATGCCAACTTAGATTGCCATCTTTACCCTCTTTCTAAGAGTAAATTTAGGGGAAGATGATTTTATTTGAAGCTGTTCTCTGCAACTTGGAATCAGCAGCAACAACAACTCCATGGATGGAACAGAAAGAGTGCAAGTTTGGTGAGCATTTTAATATTCTGTTCATCCCTATAATATTTGTTGTAAATTAAATATCCTGTTTTGAACATGTGGGTCCCCTCCATTCCCTGCCTGTCACTGTCAGATTTCAGAACAAAACAAAAAACAAAAAACAAAACAAAAAAAAACTCCCAACACAGAAGGATAGCATTAGGGGTTTTTTTTGTGGGGGAAAAAACTCCCAATCTTAAGTTGGGAGAAGTGATCCACAAGCTCTCAACCATGGCGGGGCCTATTCTGATAGCTCTACATCCATTTTAATGCTCTTGAATTGCCTGCTTTATGGAGTAGGATTGAATTGAATGATGCTCTTTGTTTCCTTTTTACAACTTTGAAAATTATTTCTTCCCATTGGACTTCGAATGAGTGATTGTGAAACAACCCCTTTCTATTTGTTTATTCGATTATCCTCAGTACCATATTTGCAGAAGATTGGCTAAGTTCATTTGATGGGCCATGTGACTAATAACTCTACTATTTCACAGTCACTCCGAGATCTAAAAGGAAATGGGTCAAATAGAGTAACAATGATGAGCTATTTCATACAGTAAGTTTCATTTATTGCTTTTATATCATGAAGTATAAGTTGATATGTTCTATCTTTGGTTTGTAGGTTTATGATCTGTAAAAACTACATAACTTTCTGGATTAACAAATTTGTAGTTTAGGATAAGCAAATTTACATATCAAACTATACGAGTTTTGAGTAGACTGATGGTTAAGTTTAACGGTTTTCGTTTAAACGATTTCATGTAGACAGAAAATGCAGCATAATCCTGTCTATGAGCTTCAAAATAATGCTAAACATTGTTGGTTGGGGACAAGAAATCAATCAATGAGTGAGCTGATTTCAAACAGGGATTTTTTGTGTATCTAATTTTGTCCATTTTCTTGGGCTCTCAGACAGGATTTGATTTTGTTTTTTGTTCTCTGCTTCCCGATCACTCTTTTCATTTTCTTCCTCTGCCAAAAGATAATCAATTCCGACACAGGAAAAAGCCTATGTTTTGTTCTCCTTTTGCTATTCACTCCCTCTAAATTTGGGGTTCATGTGGAGCCAAACTGGTTGCTCCAGAGGAATATGTTCTACCATAAGTTGAAAGATATGTTCTGCTTTTGATATTTCTAAAATGACGTACATATCATTGTAAAATATTACTACTTAAAATAGAAGTGATTTTGATCGTGTCAAAATTATTTCTAACATGCCTTGATGTTTGGCAATGATTTATGCATGATTTTAGAAAATGGTAAAAGTGATTTTGTCTAGTTTATAGTATTTTTTTAAAAATATATTCTCTTTATTTGTGTGTTTGAAAATTCGTATGAGGTTAATGAGTGAATATTAGTTGGAGAAAAATGATAATTGCACTCGTCTACCTGGGCATGGGGTGCCTGCACTCGCTTCAAGATCTAGACTTGAGAGACATCATAGATGTTTTGGCATTAAGTTCAATTGGAAGGTTCAAACTTGAGATTTTTAAGTTAGTATGACCACCAAAAGATCCCAAGCTCTTGTCATTCAGGCTGTTCTTTAAAGGCCTCTTCTAATATTATGTTAAATCATGAACTAAAATCAAAAAGTAGGTTACGATATATTTAGGTTAAATTATAAGTTTGTTCGTGAACCTTTACAAAATTCCAATAAAGTCATGAACTTGCAAAGTTTTCTTTGAGTCCCTTCCCTTTCCTTAAAAAGTTTCTAACAAGTCACCGAACTTGCAATTTTGTGTCTAGTATGTCTCTATTATTGAATTCATCAATTTAACGCTTATGTAGCATATTGGCATTGAGGTTTTTGAGGTGAGTTAATTTGAGATACTCTAGACACTTGGTAGCATAATTGAAATTGAGTAATCTAACTCGTATTTTATCTTTCGATTTAATTTATTTTTTGTTAAAAAAACTTGTTTTCTTATTCTTAACATGTTTTTTTAGTAAAGGAAACTACTTTTAGTTTTAGAAATCAATATTTTTTATAGTAAAACTTCTAACAATAGTGTTCAATAATTTGTAAAATCATTGGAAAATATCTCTTCTAAAAGTAGAAAAGCAATAGCTAAACTAAAAAAGTAAATGTTAAACTAGTCGTAATGTTTATTATCTACTTTATAAGGCAGTTTAATCTTCCTATAAATGATCATTAAAAACTGTTTGAAAACTATTTAATTTTCCCATCCATTTCAGCAACGATTTTGACCCATTCAAATTACACAAGACTCGCTCATTATAATAATAATCATGATGCTGAAGCTCGAATTCTTAAATGAAAAGTAGAATAAAATAAAATTGTAATTTAAGTTAGGAGGGTGACGAGTCAAATGAGTCTCTAACCACGTCATCATCCAAATACTAAAACGATGGAAAAAACATGGGGAGAAAATTTGATTCGCAATCAAGGTTTTAAATGGAAACATGAATAAAATGTCGGTGTCCATAGAAAAAAATTATAAGAATAAAACATTCATAAAAATTATTTAAATTAACAAATAAGTATCATATCATTTCTAAATAAGTTTAAAATAATTTATATCAATATTATGTTTATATTAGTGAGATTTTTTTTGTAATTTTATAGAAATGTCGGTTTACATCAAATATGAAACATGAATACATAGATATGTCGACGGAAATATCTATTCAATATCATGTTCACAATTGAAAAAAGGAAAAATGGAAATCAACCAAATAAAAAAAAAACGTTGTCTCAATTACACAGATGAAAAATATTAGATTTACCAAATCTTAAACTCCGGAAGGAAATATTAGATTTACCAAATCTTAAACTTGTGAGGGAAAATTTTCACAGTTGTACTCTCTCTATCTCAGCAATCTGAATTACGAAAATTTCGAAAAATGAAATTTTGGAGATAAAATTTAATTCCCAGATGAAAAGAAAAATGGAAAACCAAACAAAAAGAGTTGGTTCAATTACCAATAAATTGATCTCCACTCGTAAGTTGGATCCAAAAAAGGTTCCATTAAAATATTTGCTTCTTCCAGTGATTTGTATATAAAGCGACTGTTACTTCAAGCTTGCTTTGGATGCAAAATGTTTGGTGTAAATATTTGCAAACAAATATAGTTTTTTTTTTGTTTCATTTTTGGGTCAGTTTTTAGAGAAACGCTTCTCTTGTTCATGGGTACCTCAAAAATCTCTTGAATTCATCTTGGGTTATTTTCACTCTGTACACTGCCCTGTCATTGCTTTCTTCTCACTGTTTGTGGGTCTTCTTCAGTCCAACCTCCTGATTGTTCTTGCTTCAAGTTATAAATGCCCAATTAAGTAATTTGTTTATTCAATTTCATTTGTTCCCTCTTTTCTTTTTGATCGATGTTGAATAAATTTGTCGTCATTTGAGGAACTGGGGATTGGGTTTGAGTTTGGTTTATATGGGATGGAGGGGCTGATTCCATTGATTCTTCAGCTGCTGATTCTTTGTGTCGCTGCTAATGCTTCCGAGCTCGGGGAAATTGCTGGTAAAGTTCTTGCTTATTCACATTTGAAATTTGGAATCTGGGTCGTTGAGATTTGAATGAACTGTTCAGCCATTAGATTTCAATTTGTTTCTTTTTAAGCTCTGTTGTCAAAGAATACAGCTATGTTTCTTTGCAATATGTGCGGAACTTTCAGATATCTGTTCCTTTAATTGAGCTTGAGTTCTATTGAATTGGACTGATCTACTGATATTACTGCCCTTGTTTTAAGTGTATTCTCTCAACTGGGTTGATGATGAGGAGTTCTGCTCGATTCCAGTGCCTTATTTTCTGTTGAAATCTCTCTCTCTCTCTATATGTTGGAGATAACTGAACCATTGATCTTCTGAGCTGTTTGTTTTTCTTAATTCATTGATTGGTAGAAGTTCTAATTTTCTGCTGGTTCTGCCACTTCCCATGTTGTAGGATTCAGAAACTCTCCACCCCTTGTAGCTTCTTCTGCATTTCCTCCCATTGAAGGAGTACCCGGCTTTGTCCAACACGGCACGGGACCGAGCTCTGCACCCCAGCCAAATGGTAAAGTCCATCAAGTTGATAACTTCTAGTCAGCTGTTTTTTTATTATATCATAAACATTCTGTTTTGGACAATGTAGAGTCGACTTTGCAACCACCGGTTGTGTTACCACCACCAATTGCGCCAGTTCCATTGCCTGACACGACCGAAGGGTTCGTACCGTCCTCTTCTCCGAGTACTCCGACTGAGCTGCCACCATTTAATAGCATGCCACATCCCTCTTTACCAGTTCAACCAAATGCACCATTGATTTCACCAAGTACACCAGAAGCAGAAGGTAAAGCACCAGTGAATGAGACTCCTCTGTCAAAGGTTTCTCCAGGTAGATGAACTATACTGTTGGTCTCCTGTATTTTCATGTGCAATTGATTCATTATCTGCCTAATTTTTTATCCACAGCTCCAGCCGTGACAACGACGAATTCTCCGCTATATTCGCCAGCAAGTTCCCCACATGAGCAAACAAATTCTTCATCAAGTTCTCGTCAAAACACTTCACCAAACGTAGCTCCCATCGCTGAGCCGATATCTCCAGGTTTGATAATATAATACAAAAAACAATTTTCTCGCTCAATCGTTAGTTTGCCATCCTTTGCTATATCTGAAATTTCTTCCCCTTTTCTCCTCTTATTTGTCATATCCATACAAATTGCAATGCCAGTGAGCAAGTTGCCGAAGAACTCACCTGCTAGTCATCCAGTAGATCCTGAAATATCTCCATCCACATTACCAGGTGAAAGTCTGCTTGTGATCTTATCCCAATTCTTAAATTGTGGAGTAAGGGCATATATGTTGTGTACAACTATTCAACATCTTGTTATTCATGACTTTTGTTGCTCTTTGGAGTTTTTAGTTTTTTACAACACAAGAAGATTTATTCAGTCCTAAAAGCTAAAAAAGGAACAATTTCTAAATTTCACACCAGGGTAAAGAAAAAGATAAATCTCCTCGATAAGATAGCAAACAACCAAAGATCTTATAAAAAATGTACGGAATAATGGAGATCTAGTTGTTTGTATTACTTGTAAATTTGTTCAGTTATTACAATTTCTAACTTAATTCACATCTCAATTCGTGGAACTTTCATGGTTATTTCATCTGGTCTGCCTAAATTTCTTTGGTTGATTGTTCCAAATTTGATGTTCCAGAGCCTGATATCGCTCCAGCGGTAGCTCCTTCCCCGAAAGCTAGTGATGGAAATAGGTTAGAAGCACCAGCAGCTGCACCTTATTATGCATTGCCCAAACATATGCCACCTGTGAATCATTCCCCAGAACAAGGTATTGTGGAAAAGTGCATTTCAGGTAAATTGATCCTGAAGAAAGAATCTCTCCCTGGTGCTTATTTTCTGGTTCTTTTTTTGAAGCTCCTTCCACTCAAAATGACATGGGACACTCTCATGACGCTCCACGACCAATTCTTTCACCACAAAAAGCTCCAACATCTCCTCCTGTGCCCCCATATTATAAGCATCACAGAAGGAGAAATGATACCATCAGTCAAGCACCTGCACCATCATATCCAATTTCCTCTCACGCAACAAAACCACCGGGTATTGGTTCAACCTGTATTTTCTGAAGTTTATAACCATTTCCAGTTTTGGCATCCCTGACATAGAAAGGTATTCCTTGGTTTAACATCATAGGTCCAAACATATCTCCGACACAACATTCAAACAGAAGAGGGCACCCTGCTCCACCTACAGAATCAGGTACTTAGATGTATTAATATCCTGTGTGAATTATTTTAATCAAATCAGATAATGGAAAAAAATGGTCAGTTTGGCTACCCAATCACTTCTTGTGCAGATCCCTCTCCAATATCTCCTCCACATTATGATCCTCCTCTGCTTGTGAATCATGTTTCACCTTCTCCTTCACCATTCCAAAAAATGCCTGGGTATACTAGAAGTAAGGCACATCCCAATATTTTAACCAAATAAGTATTCTTCTTCTTTCATCACATAAAAAACTGTCTTAGTTGTTTGTTCTTTCTCCATTTTCAGGACATTTTGATCCCCCTAAAGCTTCACCATTGAAACCTTCCGCAAAGAGTCCGAAGATGCCACCACTGCCACCAATACATGCACTGCCTCCTCCACCTCCCAATGAAGGTATACATTACTTAATTCTTTCTCATCCAGATCACAGACCAAGGAAATTATTATTAAAGAACATGTTTAATTTCCTTTTCCAGATTGTTCAGGAACCCTGTGCACTGAGCCGTATACAAATACTCCCCCAGGATCTCCCTGTGGTTGTGTTTGGCCAATGCAAATTGGACTTCGCCTCAGTGTTTCGCTGTATACCTTCTTCCCCCTAGTTTCGGAGCTAGCGGCAGAAGTTGCTGCTGGGGTGTTTGTAAAGCAAAGTCAAGTTCGCATTATTGGAGCCAATGCAGCTAACCAGCAACCAGATAAGACTGTTGTCCTTATTGACTTAGTCCCTCTTGGGGAAAAATTTGACAATACTACGGCCTTTTTGACTTACCAAAGGTTTTGGCACAAGAAAGTTTCCATCAAAGATTCCTATTTTGGTGACTATGAAGTATTATATGTTCGATATCCAGGTTTACCTCCATCACCTCCTTCTGGAGAGTCACAAATGGATAGCGAGCCTTATACAAGTAATAGTAACAATGCAAGGACTGTAAAACCCATCGGCGTCGATATACAGAATAGACAGCATAAAGAAAGGATAAGTGGTGGTATGATTGCTATGATTGCCCTGTCAACTACTGTTGCAGTGGTTTTATGCATTGCTATTGCTTGGATTTTGATCTTTAGACACAATGATGGTGTTTGTCAGCTGAAACCAACTCCACACGTTTCGTTATCCTCCCTCAATAAACCATCAGGTAATATGGATTGCCTACTAATGTTGGCCCCCTGAAAAGGTGGATCTTTTGTAACGGTATTTTATTGCGTTTTTACGCTCATCATTCGGTCCTTTGGCATCTTTTAAGTTTATACAGACTTGCAGGTGCTGGTGGATCAGTTATGGCAACCATGCCTAGTTCTGCTTCTTTATCCTTTGGATCAAGCATTGCCCCATATTCAGGATCAGCCAAGACATTAAGTGCTTCTGACATAGAGAGAGCCACCAATAATTTTTATCCTTCAAGAATATTGGGGGAAGGTGGGTTTGGACGCGTTTACAGTGGCGTTCTTGAAGATGGTACCAAAGTAGCAGTCAAAGTTCTCAAGAGAGACGATCATCAGGGTGGTCGAGAATTCTTGGCTGAAGTCGAAATGCTGAGCCGCCTCCACCACAGAAATTTGGTCAAGTTGATTGGAATATGTACCGAGGAGCGTAGTCGCTGCCTGGTGTATGAACTCATTCCAAACGGCAGTGTGGAATCTCATTTACATGGTAAGAAAGTGGTCTTCATGTGTTCCATTTGTGGTTTAACCAGTATGATTCTATTGTGACACAGCGATATGAAACCATTTCAATTTAATCTAACTTGTTTCGTTTTTCGATATTCTCTTCCGTTAGGTGTTGATAGGGAAACTGCCCCACTTGATTGGGGCGCCCGGATAAAGATAGCGCTCGGTGCTGCTCGGGGTTTATCCTATCTACATGAAGATTCAAGTCCTAGAGTCATACATAGGGACTTCAAATCCAGCAACATTTTGCTAGAACATGATTTTACACCAAAAGTTTCCGACTTCGGATTGGCTCGAACTGCGATGGACGAGGAAAGTAAACACATATCAACACGTGTCATGGGAACTTTCGGGTATAACATTCCTCCTGTTTGTATATTATTAGAAGTTGTTTTAGATTTCTCCTTGCAAAATATAGTAAAGAGCCAAGAAGAGGCTGGTAGTTAATTTATTTATCATAATCTTCACTTATCATCATACTTGCTATTATGCATGCCATGGAGCCTACTATCTCTAGAACACTTGTTACAGATTAGATCTTGGTCATCTTTATGAAAGACTGTTTTTTCTTTTCCATTTGAACAAGTTACATATCAGATTTTGGAACATGTTATTGTAAGTGCTATTAAGCTCTGCTAGGCATATCAAGAAAAAGAAAATGTTAAGGTAGGCTAAAATTTTTCACATTTGCCATAGATTTGAGAAGCAACATGCTCTGCCTACATCCTGGGAATCTTGGATACATGTTGAATCTTCTGAATTATAGTAAAGTAGGATACTTCCGAATCTTAGAGGAAATGTAGATTCTTTTTTTTTATGCCTTCTCTTACTTGACTTATTGTTGATATGTTCAGATATGTGGCTCCGGAGTATGCAATGACAGGCCATTTACTTGTAAAGAGCGACGTTTACAGTTACGGTGTCGTCCTTCTTGAGCTATTAACGGGCAGGAAACCAGTAGATATGTCGCAACCACCTGGTCAAGAAAACCTTGTTGCTTGGGCTCGCCCACTCCTCACAAGCAAAGAAGGCTTAGAAATTATAATCGACAAATCGCTAGATTGTGAGGATGTTCCTTTTGAAAGTATAGCCAAAGTGGCAGCCATTGCTTCAATGTGTGTGCAGCCAGAGGTGTCGCATCGACCTTTCATGGGTGAGGTTGTTCAAGCACTGAAACTAGTTTCTAACCAATGTGACGAGGCACGAGAAGCAAGTTCACGGGATTCAAGCCAGGAGAACTCGTCTGTGGATATGAATGATAATGAGGCATCAAGTTCAAGACACATGCTAGACTCTTTTCATAGCCAATATTCAGTACCTAACTATAGTTCACATTTCGACATCCTCGATACACGTCTCTCCATTTCAGAGTTGTTAAATACGTCGCAAGAAACCAGATCACTTGAAAGATGCTCGAGTTCTAGACCCCCTAGAATTGAGAAAGGTAAGAGACATTTCTGGCAGAGAATGAGAAGGTATTCAGGAAGTAGCATAAGTGAACATGGAATGCCTAGATTATGGTCAGGTTCCACCTAACAAATTAGCCAGTCCTTCCTTCACCATAGGCCATAGTTCAATTTCTAATTTCAACTAACTGAACTGCCTTCCAAAATATCTTGCACAGAACTATATTCAACATCGCTCGTTACCCTCTAGTTGTAACTCTTTTTTGGTTCTTTTTCTGAACTTGGTGTTGCAGAATAAAGCATTGAGAGAAGAGAATGCTGTTAGATTCAGATAGAACATTGTGTATCACTGAAAAGACATCCTATCGCATACAAAGTTTTTTAATTTTATGACTTCTTAAGGAAGGCATTCTACTCCTGTATGAGGATCCCAAATGTTCAATACGCAATCATTATAAAGATGGGGTAAATAAGTTACCAAACACTAATAATGATCCATTTTCAAACGTTCATTCAACAGGCATTACAGAGAACCGACAGCGTTCAATTCATTGATGGTGCCAGATAGTCATATTCATTCTACATACTGTAAACTCTATAAATAGAAGAGAGAGAGCCTGCGCCGGATATTCCAAATACATGCACACAGTTGCAAAGAAGGGAAAAAGAAAGAATAGAACACTGAAGATAGACAGACTAGAGTTCCAATTCCACTACGCTACAATCTACTGCATCGAACTTTACGGTCTCTCTAAGGCTTTGCAGCACATTCAATTACGTGAGATTTGAATTTTTCAAGCTCAGCTAACACCTCATCTTCTGGCCGATAAATCAAATCACTCATACGCCATATCTGCAACTCACAAGCATAACAAGTCAAGAGAAACTTTCTTTAAATGTATATTTTAAAAAGAACAATGAGCCCCCTTCCAACCCCAAACCGAAAACATATAAATAATTAAACAATATGGTGTAAGCAACCTAGCAAAATAACCTCGTGGTTCTTGTATTGTTTTTAAAGGAGTTTTTTTCTTTCTTTTTCTTTGGAGTGGGGGGGTAATAGAGAGAGAGAGAGAGAGAGAGAGAGAGAGAGAGAGAGAGAGAGAGAGAGAGAGAGAGAGAGAGAGAGAGAGAGAGAGAGAGAGAGAGAGAGAGAGAGAGAATGGTGGTGGACCTGCAATGTTCCTCCTCCACCAGTTGTATCACAATCATCAGACACGCTGACAACAGTCCATGGATCAGATGCATTCCAGTGGAAGTCAACGACCTTATCCCTGGATATGACAAAAAGGTTAGATGAATAAAGTAACCTTAAAATCAAGCACTAACAATATTGCAATGATGCAGGTGAAGGAAAAACTATCCGAGGAATAGCAGTTCTCGGAAAGGAATGAACTAAGAGTTTAACGTGCTCTTTTGTCTGGTTCGTGCGTCTCAAACAGAAAAAGGCAGTAATTTAAAACCTGTGCCCAGCATGCTGGAAAAATAAGCCTGGGGGAGCAGCAGGTGTCCTTGTTGCTCGCTCTGTCTTTTTACCAACCTGGAATAGGTTGAGACCAGAAAGAACATCATGAATATATATTACCAAAATCCAATAGAAATCCAAAGACAAATAAATTACACCAATTAATTAATATGAACCATAAACATATCAGAAACGCTAAATAAAACCAGCCAGATGTTGTCATGGTATTTTGTGTAATCAGATCTCTAAGAAAAAGGGAAAAAGAAATTCATGGCTTAAGATACTATTATCTCGATTAAATCCTGGAAGAAAGATAACAAAACAGAAACACGGTTTTAATCTCAAAATGCTGTACCTTATCGTAATCCCAGATATTCAACAGCCCGTCCTCTGCGGAACTTCCAAAGACAGATGACTTATCTGGAGACCACTGAATAAAAAATATATGGACAGGTATGTGTGATTAACACATTTTGCAACTAATTGCAAGAGCATTAAAAAATAAAACTAGTAGTAATAAGACAAAAGGTAACAAAAAACAAAAACAAAAAGAATACCTGAACACAAAGAACCGCTGCTTTATGGCCCTCAAATTTATAGATGGGCGAGCCAACTCCATTAGAAGTGAGGTTCCGACGATCAAACAGACGAATAGAGTTATCTGCTGACCTGAAGAGAGATTAGTCAAAATGTAAGTGGACCTTAAAAATTACACTTTCCTAATTCCAAACGATCTATCAAATATAAAGAGGTGAAACCAAATGGTACACAACGGCCAAATTCTGTTTCTTGTTTTCTTTAATAACAAAATGAATTTCATTGAAATAGCAACTAAAGGAGTCGGGCAAATAGCAGCAAGATCATAGTGCTATTTACTATTTCTTCTCTCTGTCTCTGTAAATTTTTTCTTTTTTTATGTCTATCGGATCTCATTTTCCCATAAACATTAATAAAGAGAAAATAAGAAATTAAAAATTACCCTGTTATGATAAGATTATCATCATGAGGATTCCAATCAACACAATGAAGATCAGCATTATGTGCTTTTTCAACCTGCCAGCCAGAAAGAAAGGTCAGACTAGCATGAATATAAACAGAAGCTCCTAAAATACGAGCTCTGAAAATAAAAACATAAAAGCAGAAGTAAATTATGGGACATCCTATTTGTCATGCAGGATGAAGCTCCTACGCAGAATAATGGTATGAAACAACCAAATAGTTTCTACTACAAAAAAGGTAAAACATCATGGAAATTTTATCCTATCAACTTTGGCCAGTATAACAAATACTAAATATTAGAGTCACAGAATGACAAGTACGTAGTTATTCCAAGGTCATACTCTAATGTACGCTCTATAACCCAGATTTCAACTTCCAGTATGATAAAGAACAGTACAGAGAAAATTAAACAAGAGAATTATGACCTTAACAGCTGGGCCAGAGCCAGCACGGGCATCCCATAATATTAGACAAGAGTCATCTCCCACGCTGCAAAACTCCTGTGCACTTAAGAAAGAAAATAAAAGAAAAAGTGGTTAATAGTTTAACTTAGAAACGAGAACATTAAAAATTAGACTTCCATCTCTATCAAACCAAACCCCAGCTGGAAATCACCACCTGCTGTACTACATGAAAAATCTAAATGTATATTAAATAAAAGAAAAGGTTTTAAATGCCCCATCCATATGCCCTTATATTCCTAATTCTCAAAATAAAATTAAAATAAAAACATGAACGACTCAAAATTCAGAACTGAGATATTACTTGGATGGACAGAAGGTCACATCTTCAACAGTATCCTCGTGACCATGGTAAACTCCTCGTGGCCCAACAGAAGGCCCATCAGAAGCTTTATCATTTGTCTCTCCCGCCTTTTTTATGATAGATCCACCAGATCCTGGTGATTTTGAAGCAGCAGGGTCTGTGGCCGAAGTTGTTATATGGTCCTGGATACTCCATAAAACAACTAACTTGTCCTTCCCTGGCATAAGATTAAATAGCATCTGAGAAATGGAACCCCTTTTCTAACACCCCACACCATGAGATAGTAATAATCCCATTACAACAAAGAAATTGATATATTTTGAAAAATAATAATAATTTGAGACATCTAATCTGAAACAATGCCACAGTCGAGTAAAACTTTGCAGATTGAGTCTCATTAGAAGGACCAACTTTAATGAGAAAAAAGATCAGAAAGCTTTCAACCTCCAGAGAGAACATAAGGTTCAGTGGGGCACATTGCTAGAGCAAACTCTGCATTTTCTTGATGACCAGTCAGAATCTGCAAATGCACTGTAAGTTAACTCAAAATTGCATAATGAAGGTTTCAAACAAAGAAGAATTTAGAATGTGCATGTTACAAACACCAGAATAATTCATCTTTCATGTTCCCAGAACAATTGTTAAGATTAACATGAGACCTAGGAAGTTATACATGCTTTCCATGATTTTTCACGTCTACCCACCAGCTTGGGAAACCCCCTCGGCTCTAGATAATTATTATGAAAAATCTCTCCATTTGAATAAAACAATTAAATGCTTTGACCATTCACATTCACGAGACATTAAAATAGGCAGCCTACTGTTTAACCACGACTGCAGCATTTAACAGTAAGAAAATAAACTAGACATGTTGGACATATCAATATCTCAGTAAGCTTCTATAATGGGATTAACTTAACCTCAATCAGCCAAAAAGAGATGGATACCAGAACTTCAAGACATAGTAACATTTAAAGAACATGTCAGCAGTTTGAGTTTTCAACAGAATTACCAAATCTGGGCGAGAATTTGTGGCACCAAGGACAGCATGACGGTTAGGTTGAGCCTCAACATCCCAAATGAGGACCTGAATGTTGAATACCAAAGAGACTTAAAGCAATAGTGGTTGAATAAACGTAATCGAGGCATAAGCTTCTCAATCAAAATAATGCAAGAACTAAAATCATTAGCACATACATCTGGACTATCCGTGTGTGTGGCAACAATTCTAGCATTCTGGGGAAGTTCCCTAATTCTGTTAACCTGTAAAAATATTCAACAAAGACCATTAGAACAATTTTAAAACAACTCCACCATCATTTTCAACTTCCAACTGGACAGCAATGACTTATCCAAAGGAACCAATATAAATGTTCCAAGACTGAGACAAACCTTGAAACTCAAGTAAGAAACGATAATTTAACAA